CAACATGGGGGTGACCATGGTGTACATCACTGAGGCTTCTGCAGTAGAGGCTGAATTTGGGGCAGTGTTGGCACTGAGGTACATACCTATGATTGTACCATAAAATAGGGAGATGATCAAAGAATGAGAGGCACAGGTGGAAAGGCTTTATACTTTCCCTGAGCTGATGAGATGGCACAGATGGAAGAGGGAATCTTAGAGTAAGAGTACAGGATCCCAGACAGGAGACCAACCCCTAAAAGCACAGTTGCAAAGTCCATTATGAGGTCATTGAGAAAGGTGTCAGAAGAGGCTCTGTGGACCACCTGATTCAACTCACAGAAAAAATGAGGGATTTCCTGGTGTATGCAGAAGCTCAGTCTCAGCACTCCTAAGCTGTTAAACAAGCAATACAGGACAGTGATGGTCCAGTACACAAGAAGGAGCTGCACACAGAGCGGGAATTCATGATGACTGTGTAGTGCAGGGGGTGGCCAATGGCTACAAACCGGTCATAGGCCATCACTGCCAGAAGAAAGTTATCTAATGCTCCAAAGTTTATGAAGCAGAACAGCTGAGTGATGCAGCCTGCATAGCTGATAGCTTGACTCTGTGTCTGGACGTTCACCAGCATCTTGGGGACGGTGGTGGAGATGAAGCAGATGTCAAAGAAGGACAAGTTGGCAAGGAAGAAGAACATGGGCATGTGGAGGTGGTTGTCTGAGTGGATGGCCATGATAATGAGTAGATTCCCAATCACATAGATCACATACATGGAGAGGAGCAGCCTGAATGTAATAGGCTGCAGTGCTGGGTCCTCTGAGAATCCCAGAAGAATGAATTCTGAAAGCTGAGTTTGGTTGCTCAGCTTCATGTGGTGGATATTACTGTCAGGAAGAAGTAGCTGAACCTGATACATATTCATAAAAAACAGATGTAAACAACACTGCAGAAATCCCAAATTTATGCTGTCCGATTCAGAACTTCAATTTAGAGTTGGTTTGGTGCTAATTTTGGTCCTTCCCAGTGGGATCACTGACCAAAAATTGCTTTGTACCCTCAATTCTTCCCTACATCATCAAATGCTTCTCAACTATAATAAGGTATTCTTTGACCACTTGGGTAATATGTATCCATCAGAGGTTAAAAAATCACCATTGATTTTCCAACTGACTGTATAAACCAAATATCAGGAGAAGAAGCTGTATAAAATGTGTGATTTCATGCATCTTATGAGATGAAGAGATTCAGTTCTGATTGTGAAATAAAGTGATATTCTGGCACATTATGGAAGTCCAAGCAGAAGTGCTATGATTTTGAGCAGATGACTCAATCATGTTAAGCAAAGAGGAATCACAAAGGATTTCAGATGATCAGAAGGACTCAACATGGAGTAGATCGGAAATATATATGAAACTGACTTACTAACTCTCTGTTTGCAGACTGAAATTTTTGTAGATTTAATATGCATAGGTATGGAACCCAAGGATGAGTTAGAGATTTTGACAACAAAAACTGGAAGCTTTGACACATCCTCTTACTTTCTACTAACGGTCCATCAAAGGATCTTACAAATGTAGCTAAAAGCTTCAATTATTTTTGTGCATACATTTTGCAAAGAAGAGTTGTTCAAATGTTGATGACCCCTCATAAGTTTGAATTAGGATATATTTTTGCATGAGACATTTGGGGCATACCACGCTACACTGTAAATATATTTTTCACTGTACTGAAATAAGTACAGTGTGCTTATTAGGTATGCTCAAAGAACTCCATGACAGAAAGCAAGCTGACAACAATGGTCAATATTTGTTGGTATGAAGACAGTAAAGATAGGAATAAAACTCTCTCACCTGACACCACACCAGGGTAGCAATGAAATTAGGGAAAAAAATGAGAATGGTAGGAAAACCCTGAGTGTATCCAACACACAGCTTATGTAATAACTGTCAAGCAGGTGTCTTTTGATAGAGCTGTTCTTACTGTCTAGTTAAGATAACATTGAGTTACGTGAGAGTGAAGTGAGAGAAGACAGAAGACCCTGAGACCTGAGTGTTTCAGCAGCTTCTATCAGGATTTCCAGGAAACATTTCCCCTCTCCTGGCCCTTTCCTGTTGATACTGGAACAGTCAGTTACTGCAACTCTTCACTCCTGGAAAGAGCAGGGTGTTGACTCAGTCTGCAGAGGCTGTTCCTGGGCCAGGGGTTGTATTCACCACTATGTTTCTTTTCACTAAAATCTAATATGAACTCATTCCAGCATGAGTCTACCACATATAAAATTCACTCTCTGCTTTCTCCAGATTCCCCAATGTGCAAAGGTGGCTATATGTACTCGAGGGAACTTTCACCACTCATTGTCTACTAGAATTGATCTTTTCTTGCCCTCATTTCTTCATTAGCAATGTTTATTGCCATAGTATATCCAACATTTCCCTCCCCTTGAAAATCACTGACCAATGCATTCAATACTTAAGCATAGCAGTCACAACCCTAGACCTATCCCAGGGTTTGGCTAGGTTAGTTCAGCTTTTGGTTAAACCCCAGGGAAAGTTGTCTGTGTCCACAGTCTGAGATCCCTTCTCAAGTGTCTACCAAGCTCACCTGCATCACCTCTCCATGACTAAAATGTCTGTATGGATGCTCAGTTTCCTTCCTTGATGGTGGATGCTGCAGACTGAAGCTCTGTCCCAGGCACAGAGGAGGGAAGAAGGGAAATTCCGGCTCCTGATCAGTCTCAGGACCCCAAATGCAACAAGTAGTCTGCTTCTAGCCCAAGGTTGCACAATCTATATGACCACAGCAGAGGAGGAGTCCTTACAGCTCCTGGCACCTGCTCATTAGGCTGCTCCCTGACCTCTAAGCACCTGCTGGTACCTGGGACTATAGCCTGGGCAAGAAAGCAGGTGTTTCTCAAGACCATGATGCACCCAGGTGAATCCTCTTTCTCTTTCTCCTGCTTTGTGGCAATCACAATTAGCTGCCATTTATTTCCTCACCTTTAAAAAAATTCTTTTTTACACAACCTGTTCCTTAAAGACAAATATGATGGTTTTCCCCTAAGATGTTGTAGTTAAAGCTTAGTACAAAAATAATGTAGATATGGAAAAGGCTGGGCCAGGTGGCATGGCCTAGCGGCTAAAGTCCTCACCTTGAACGCGCCAGGATCCCATATGGGCGCTGGTTCTAATCCCAGCAGCTCCACTTCCCATCCAGCACCCTGCTTGTGGGCTGGGAAAGCAGTCCAGGACGGCCCAAAGCTTTGGGAACCTGCACCCGCGTGGGAGACCCGGAAGAGGCTCCTGGCTTCGGATCGGCATAGCATCAGCCGTTGCGCTCACTTGGGGAGTGAATCATTGGAAGAATGATCTTCCTCTCTGTCTCTCCTCCTCTGTGTATATCTGACTTTTCAATAAATGAATATATCTTAAAAAAAAAAGAAATGGAAAAGGCATCTTGAGATTTGATTGTTTACTTTTGGGAAACTTGACTTCTCTATTTTTTACTTGTTGCATATAAAGGTTGGTTGTATGTTAAGCCTGTGGCTACTTGTATAATACTATACTATCCAATTTTTTTTATTTTAAATATTAAATTTAGTTTATTTATCTTATTTTATGGAAAGCTCTGTAATACTCCCTTAACCCCTGACAAATTCATGCCTTCAGATATTTAACCACATGGATTTCACACAAAGTTTACACTATGGGCTTATTTGTGCTACTGCTTAACAAGTAGCTTGCATTGGAATATGGTAGAGATAACATATTGTCCTACCAGACGTAAGAAGAATTCTCAGAACCACAATGAAGAAACAGGCATTTTCACAAAAGTTCTATCCCTGCACTGAGGAAATCAACGTTGCCTCAAGTGAGTTGATGGGAATATTCTTATGATTTTTTAAAAAAATTAAATTTCTTAAATATCTACAGATAGAAAGAGAACAGGTTTCAGGACTTTTATAAATAAAATTCAAAGAAATTAGTCATACCTCCCTGCTTCAATATCCCCTTTCTTCCTTTTCTTCTACAACTTTATGCAGTAAAGTAGTTTCAATATTTTAATCATAGTGTTAATGTCAAGTAAAAATCAGAGTGACTCCTGTGCAGGAGTATTGACAAAAAATACAATAACAAAATCACAAGATTCCAGGTCCATTCTTACATATCTTGTTTTCATGTGTGCATTATATATGAACTATCATATATAAGAAAAAGCATAAAATATGTGTTTTTTGTTCTGGTTGGAATAAAAAAATCAAAATTTTACTATAGTGATTCTTAAATGTATCTTAACTAAAAAATGAACTATTGAGCTATTAAGGAGAACATTGACTAGAGTCATAAGGTGTTATTTGATTAGAAACTATATCATGAGAACTATGGACACTTCAATTCCACAATTACCATCGTGCATTTCACAGAATATGCGTAAGACTATGCTAACAAAGATTCCCATCAACAGAGCATGTGGTATACATAAATGGAATAACACACAGCCATCAAAAGAATGAAATCTTATTTTCTGCATTAAATATGGTGCAACTGGGTACCGAAGGCATACCGAAAAAGGCCATTCCAAAAGCAAATATAAGTGGTACTTCGATAGAATTTAAAATACATGAATTCATTATAAAAATGTGTAGTCACTTTAAAAATAAGCATGCAATTAAAAGTCATATAGCCCATTAACTGCCCACATTGGCTCACATTTTCCATGGAATTGTTGAGTTCCCTTGAATTTCTGAAACAAGACTTACAATAAAAATGGGAAAAAGGAAAAATCAGAAAGATATTGTTGACATACCAGACAAAAAACATTGCAATGCGGTGGGTCATTAATTTGCAGTGTGCCCAGAGGAATGGATCCTACTACTACTACTACTACTAATAATAATAGAAACAAAACAGGGAACAGACTAAGCAAGCTCTGCTTCCTCCTCTGATAAATTCGTCATAATATTTATCATTGAGGTTTGAGACATGAAGTCCCTGATGCTGCTCAGCCCTAATACAGTTGGTTTAACTAAATTTTATGAACAGCAGTCTTTTCAGAGCTCTCTTCATGTCTGTGTTCCTCAGGCTGTAGATGAAGGGGTTCAGCATGGGGGTGACCACTGTGTACATCAGCGAGGCTGCTGCAGAAGAGGCTGAACTTGGGTCAGTGCTGGCACTAACGTACACTCCTATGAAGGTGCCATAAAACAGGGAGATGGTCAAGAGATGAGAGGCACAGGTGGAAAAGGCTTTATACTTTCCCTGAGCTGATGAGATAGCACAAATGGAAGAGGCGATCTTGGAGTAGGAGTACAGGATCCCAGATAGGGGACCCCCTGCCAGCAGCACAGTTGCAGTATACATCATGAAGTCATTGAGAAAGGTGTCAGAACAGGCTCCGTGGATCACCTGATTCAACTCACAGAAAACGTGAGGGATTTCAACATGCGTACAGAAGCTCAGAGTCAGGACCAGTAAGCAATGAATAATGCCATTCAGGACAGTGATGGTCCAGCACACCAGAACGAGCTTCACACAGAGCTGGGAGGTCATGATGACTGTGTAGTGCAGGGGATGACAGATGGCCACAAACCGGTCATAGGCCATCACGGTCAAAAGAAAATCATCCAGACCTCCAAATAGCATAAGGAAGAACATCTGTGTGATGCAGCCTGCATAGCTGATGGCTTGGCTCTGTGTCTGGATATTCACCAGCATCTTGGGGATGCTGGTAGAGGTGAAGCCTACATCTGCTAATGACAGCTTAGCAAGGAAGAAGTACATGGGCGTGTGGAGGTTGGTGTCAGAGAGGATGGCTAGGACAATGAGCAGGTTCCCACTGACAGTGACCAGGTACATGGAGAGGAAGAGCCCAAAGATGAGAGGCTGCAGGCTTGGGTCCTCTGAGAATCCCAGGAGAATGAATGCTGAAAGCTGTTCAGTTTGGTTTCTCACTTTCATGTGGTTCAGGTCACAATCAGGAATATGCAGTTGCACCTGAAGCATATTCATACAAAGAGAAAGTGAATATCAGAGTGCAAATCCGAAACTGATGCATTCCTATTTAGAATGTACCTCCTACATTTGGAGATGGCTCAGGTCCCATTTTGTCCCTTTCCCAGTGAAATCACTGAACAAGAATTCCTTAACTCTCTCAGGCCTTCCCTAAAACATCAACTACATCTCACATTTAATAAGATATTTTTTGACCACTTAGAAATTTTTATTCATTAGTGTATACCAACTCACTATACATTTTCCAAATCAATGCATGAAGAAATAAGCAGGAGTTGAAATGATGTATAATATGTGGTTTTCTGTATATTATAAGATACTGGGATGCAATTCTGCTTATTACAGATAAAATGATCTTTAGTGAAATGCAACTGGAGGCAGAAGTGTGTCACTATGAGTAAATAGTTGAATGAGCTATACAGGAGGAATCATAAAGGATGTCAAATGAGAACAACTGAATGTGGAGAACGTTAGAAATACTTGTAAAGGACTTATTAAGACTCCGTGTGCAGAATCATATTTTTTGTAGATTTTAATTGCAGTGGATTTGCAACTCAGAATGAGTTTGTGATTTGCAATCTTTCATTAGTTCTCTTAAATTTTACTGAAAAGGTATATCAAAATGTCTCAAAATGCAGCTAGCAGATTTACTCATGTTTGTATATGTGTTTTGCAAAATAGTTATCTAAATTTTGATTACCCTGCACAAGTATGGATTAAAATACTTTTTCACGAGATGTTTTGGACCATAATATACTTACCTTTAAATGCACATTCTTTTTTTGCATTGAAGAACACTCCAAGTACATATCAAAGAACTGAATGGCAGAAAAAGCAATCTGTGTATGTAAAATGATAATAAAGACAGGAATAAAACTCTCTCACCAGAGCACACCAGGAAAGCATGAAATTGCAGAGAAATGGAAGTGACTGGAAGCCTTGAGAGTATCCAACTCTCAGATGATGCAATATCTGTCAGGCAGGTGTCTTTGATAGAGCCCGTCTTACTGTGTCATTAACATTGATTCATCTGAGAACACAGTGTGAGAGCAGAGAGAAGATTGTTAGACATTTATGTTGCAGTGGCTGCTCTTATTAGGATTTCCATCCACACATTTCTCCTACCAGGGCCTTTCCTTTCAGTACAGGTACAGTCAGTCATAAAGCAAAGGAGGAGAGTTTTGACTCAGTTTACAGAGGCTGTTCCAGGACCAGGGGGTTGTCATTTCCCTCCTCTAATTAATTTTGAATGGGGAACAACCAATCTCTCACTGCCTGGATGTCCGTACACTGCACTACATGTCCGTCCACTAAGAAAATTTCTTCTCTCCCCCGGAACGTAAAATGCTGCAAAGCTGGCTCCATGCACTCCAGGCAGTTGAAGCCTCTCATTGTCTCTGAGAGATTATCGTTTTTCCCCTCATTTCTTCATTAGCACTGACCATTGCCCTAGGAGATCCAACATTTTTTGCCATGATAATCACTAGCATTTGTATTCAGTGGTTAATTACATGATGAAGAACTCCGGAATTGTCTGGTGTGTTAGCTCAGCTCCTGGGTGACTCTGTGGCCATAGCCTGAAACCACTCCTGCTGTGTTCAGATACCCCTCTTGGGAATGGTGGATGGTGGATGCTGGAGCCTGACGCTTGGTCCCAGATACAGCAGAAGGAGGGAAGCTCTGGTCCCTGAACCAGACTCAGACCCCAAATGCAGAAACCAGGGTGATTCACCCAAGGCAACAAGCAGGCTGCTTCTAACCCAAGGTTGCACAGTCTGAGAGACTGCAGCAGAGGATCTATTTATAGCTGCTGGCACGTGCTCATTAGGCAGCTACCTGACCTCTAAGCATCTGCTGGCCCCAAAAGTCTATAGCCATGATGGGAAGCTGTTTTCTTGCAGGTGTTTTCCAAGAGACAATGACGGACTCAGGTGAATCTTTTTCTGTTTCTCCTGCTCTGGGGCAATCACAAATAATTGCCATTTAGCACCTCACTTTAAAATGTTTTGCTCAGTGAGACAAGCCATTTCTCCTAAGGTAATTATCATGTGTTTCCCATAATATGTCATAGTTAACGTTGAATGCAAAAATTATGTAGAAATGGAAAGAGCATCTTGAGATTTGATTATTGTTTCTTCTCCTGGGAAACTGATTTCTTTAAGTTTTGCTTGTTGAATATCATGGTTAGTTGTATGCTACGCCTGTGGCTATTGGCAAATTCTGATTCTAGCCAATTATTTTATTTTAAAATATTAAATTTCTTTTTATTTGTAATTATTTTATGAAAAATTAAGTGATGCTCTTATTAGTCCCTGAGAAGTATATCTTAACACGTGGGTTCCACATTGCTTACCTGATGGGTTTATTTGTGCTACTGCTTAACAAGTAACTTGCATTGAAATATGAAAGGGAGAATATAAATGGATCAATGATGAAATAAAATGTCATCTCGAACAACTGATCAACCAGTTTCAGAAAGTCTATCCATTTCTCCTGGTTTTCCTCAATTAGGTATCATACTTCTGGATTTCCTTCCTTTTTGTAATAAACAAATTGCATAAAAACTTGACTCTCAGAAAGTTAAATTTATTTTAGGCCCTAACTGTAACTCAAATGATGAAGAAGGTCAAAGGAAATCAAAGAATACTGGTACACACCCAACAGTGTTTAAATCCCACTGTTGTAGAAAGTTTTGCCTTCTGTTTTATATTTGTTTCATAGATTTTCTCATTTTGTTCCTGTGTTGACTTTTTTTATGACTTTTCATTTAAGGAAAAGCACAATAGCTGTATATTAGAGACTATCATACTGAAATATGAAGCTGCAATGAAAGATGGACTCCCAATGGAACTGTTAAATGTGTCTTGAAAATAGGATGCTGGTGCTAAATATAAAAATGAAAATAGGCATGAGACAGTTGAATAGCACCCTGTAACCATTTTAAACATTTGAAAGCATGACAGACACAAGGAGAGAGTGAGTGCCTCTATTCACTCCAATATCCAGGTCTGGCCAGACTGAAATCAGGAGAAAGGGAGTCCAACTGGGTCTCCCATTTGGAGGACAGGGATCTAAGCACCAAGGTCAGCTTCTGTTGCTTTTCCAGGAGCCAGGAACTCCATCTGGGTCTCACATGTGCATGGCAAGGATGTATGGACTGGGGTCAACTTCTGCTGCCTTTCCAGGTGCCAGGATCTCCATCTGGGTCTCCCATGGAGCTGAACAGTGGGGTCAGCTTCTGCTGCCTTCCCAGGTGCATCCCCAGAGCTGGATCTGCAGCAGAGCAGCTGAGACTCAAACTGCAGCTGTGATAATGGACACCAGCCTTGTCAGAGGTGCTTAGCTTCTTACAGACACCACAGTTCAGGTCTCTGAGTTTTCTGATCCTCTTTAACAGTACGTGCAGTGTGGACAAATGCAGTGTTTCTGCAGCTAGAGAGACACCTGTGCCAGAACTTATGAAAGCTTTCAAACTTTGCTATCTAAATTGTAACACTATCTTGTTTTGGAATTAATGTTGTCTTGAATACTCTGTTTTAGTGTCCTCACTTTATGTTTGTTGTCATGAACCCTCCATGATGCGAGGTAATATCCATGATGTAAAGAAAGAACATCATATATGCATAGAATTTCTACATATGAAGAGAATATTATATATTTGAAAATCTGTTGAATCTCAAAATATTTTAAATTAATATTTTTAAACAAACAAAAATTGTAAGGAATTAAAAATACACATACTATCTAAATGCCTATTATTATTCAAAACAATCAATTATGACCTTGAATCTTCTCTATGCCAGAATATTCCATGTCATATATTTTGTGATCAGATAGTCACTGATTTAAATCTATGTTTATGTTACACTATTGCTATGCAATCCATGTAGGAGATTTACTTTTGTTTAAAACATTTTTTGATGATCTTAATGATGTGATTTCTTCTCCGGTTCTTGCTCTTTCCTTACTTCAAATCTGTTTCTACGTTATGTAGTACTGTTCCCTGGACCACGTCATGATTGATACAGAAATAAAGCAAGTAAGGCAGCTACTCACTTAACCCTTGCATGAACAAAGCAAAGACATCGCATACCTAAATAAATGCCTTTGACATAATGAATGTCTTGAGGGACACATCCCATGGAGAATGTTATTTCATGTAAAATCAAGGAATGGCTACTTTTGTAAATGTGTGTGCATGACAGAACGTGTGTAGGTTGGGCAAAGCTGAGAACTAAGATGAGAGAATGCTCAATGGGGTTATAAGACAAGAGAGAGACTCAGAAAAATGGAATACTAAATATGACATATTTCAAAGGGAAAATGAAGACCTTCCCTCATCAGCCATGAGACCTCATAGAAATCGACTGTCAAATAATAAGCAATAGATATAAGAAAATAATTGTGGTTGACACAAAAAACCCAAGCCAAGTTATGATGTTCTTTGTGTGTTGACTTTGGTGAATGGCTGGTTTATTCTCTTTGCTCATGTAGTAGCATTCAATCTGCATGTTTCTCAATGCCTTGAGGATATCATCACATTGTTCTATTTGATCCCAACCTGCTGTATCTCTTTATTTTTTTTTTAATGCTGGATATCAAGAAGATATAATTGGACCAGGCAAGTTGCCAAGACCAGTGAAAGCTCTAATGATCTCTCTGAGGAGCTCCCTGATCCTGTCAGATCCCCCCGTTGGGAACATTCCTATTTATTAGGGATGTTAAAAAAAAAAAAAAAGAAAAGAAACCTTCCAGCCCAGGTAAGCTAATGGACATATAGAAATGTAGCCAGCAGGGGAGTCACAAGCTGAAGTTATGGGTACCATCCACACTCCATAGGGACAGTTAGTGTGATGGTGACAGCCCCACAGAGCTCCTCTCCAGTGATGTGATGGAATGGGTAGAGTGTTCATGCCACATGAAGGAGACCATGGCATTCACTACAT